AATTACAAAACCACGAGATCCACGATGTATCATCACCTTCCGATCCACTCACATCAGACCCTTCACTATCAGTGTCCGATTCCACTGCCCAAAAACCAAACAGTGAAAATTTCAGAAAAAATATGAAATTAACTACCGAAATTGCAAAAACACACTCTTAGATGCCAACGAAATTACCATCGGGAAGCTGAGATTTAGCGGTGGAGGCCAAGGAAAAGGGATCTTTGTCTTTAGAAGCGAAAGACCTAGATGTGGAAGGTGAAGACTTCTCTAGCTTCTTGTTGAGTGTGTCGTTGATTCGTTTCCGATCAATAGCTCCGCCGAGGATATCCGATCTCGACGACCCACCACCTCCTCCTCCTCCATTCCGTTCCTTGTACATAATTCGATGCCTCGAGAAAATAATAGAATAAAATAATCGAGCTGAGGTCTCGGACTTTCTGAAGAGACAAGCCTGAGAGAAAGCAAAGGAGAGAGACGGAGAAAATTAGGGTTTTCTTTTTAGGAAAAAAAATAAAATTAATTTTGGTCACAGAGTGGAGGACAGGGCATAGGACATGTAAAGATGGTCTCTTCTTCTGTTTTTCATTATTTTTTTCTCTTTTGTCTGCCTAAATTCCATTTTTTTTATTGGCAAAAAATATCATTTTACATTGGGCTTCTCGAATTAGGTCTCGGCCCAAATAATACCCCTAGATACCAAATTATTACCATTTCTCTATATTAGTACGATACATATGGGTCTAAAACATGGTTTTGTAGGAACCATCTCAATTGATTCCAAGTTCCAGCAGTCGACCAAAAAGGATGGGCCACGTGTATGGAGGAAATCAGTAAATCGTGACAACATATCACGAAGTTTTCCGGAATTAGCTGTTAATACTATAAAATATGCTGGAAGATGCATTGGTGGTCAATGGCGTTAGACCGGAAGGTCACCGAATAATCAATATATCACGTAAACATTAAGAAAAGTGGTTAAATTATGAATTAAGAATTGTAGCATTTGGATAAATAAAATAAAAATCGGACATGAAGAGCACGAACTGAACTTTATACAAAATCTTGGGTTAGATCATGTGTTCAGTATCTGAAGATACTCGAGCTTGTCGTGGTGTGGTGCGCGACTTTGCATATATAACTTGTATATTATCATCAGTAACATCCAGCTATCCAAGTACGTGTTCCTAAACAATAGTTTAAAATAGCGAAACTTATGTTGTCTTAGAAAATCATTACTTTGCAGATTCTTGACAACCTGAGCTTTGCTTTTAAAAAGATCTAAAGTTCTTTTGTTTATTTATTAATACTACAAAATATGGATTTTTGGATGTGTATACTTGCATGTGCATTAGACATCAATGATTTCCTTCTTCAGATGTAAACTACACAATTCATACTCGAATTTGGGTTTCTTCACACGATCGGAGAGTCTACAAAGTGTATTATGATCTCTTATTGGTTTGTGTTTAAATAAGTTCGCATTACATATTTAAACTTTTGTGATTCATGTTCATGATGTACATTGTATATACTTCACAAATGGGTCTAATGCACATGTAAGTATATCATAAATTTTGGGATCTAGGAACAATTTTTGCAAAACGGAGCCTTTGTCGGACAAAGTAGTCATGCCTCGTTCATTACATTGACTTTGACAATTCCCAAGTTTTACATTTTTGTAAATTACTCCAAGATTACTCAAAGAGCATTTTTATTTAAAGAGTATTTTTATTGCATTCAAAGCAGAGATCTAATAATTGGACGTGTTAATAATTGAATGCCTAATCACACGAACAAAAAAAAAGGCAATTTACACGCGGGTCGGCTATAGTTAAACCATACCGGTCATAGTATTGGCCCACGCCTCATGAATTTGTCGTCCCAACGAGACCGGGATCGCACTCATGTGATTAGGCTTTGTAAGACAACATTATTACTTCTACAAGCTAGTCTATATACGTATTCAAATTCGATACTATCGTTTCTTCGTTTTTGTTAAAGTACATTTTGGTGTATTATAAAATTTAAACAAGAAAACCAGATTAAAAGTGGATTTTGTTAGATTTACTTTCTTTTCGACAATGCAAATATGAATCCGCATTTTCCATAATTAAAGCGCCATAACATGCAGATACAAGTGCCAAAATCGCTAATCAGTGCAATCATATAAATTTAAGATCACAATTAGCATAGAAAAAGGAATTCATCAATTATTTTTAAATTACTTACTGATAATCATTATATCCGTGTATATTTTTCGAATTATGTTACAACAAGATTAAACATCAGAAGAAAACAGAAACGAGAACAAGATGCTTAAAATTAGAAGATTTAGAAAATAAATGAAAATCAATCAGAAGATTGTCGTTGACGCTCGACTTAAATAGCGATGACCGCACGAGCACGAGTCTTCCATCTACGTTACGATGGCTTCATAGCGACTGTTGCACACGCGCGAGATCCTAGGCCGGCCACTTTATACCATTCAACTAAATTGATTGAAAACTATAATCCTCCATTTTCTTCTTTTCTTAAACCCAGAAACAGAAACGGCCGAATCTCTACTGATTCCGTCGTCTGATAAGCCAAATCGCCGCCTAAACTCAGGCGACACTTGGTAGATCTGACACCCTAACTGTTTCGATCATTTCCGGCGGTAATCACATAATCATTTTCTCGATTTTTCATGATTTGGATAAGTTTTGTAGTTCGCATTGCGTCTATGTCGATCAGATTCTGATACATTTCTTTTTGGTTTCTGCATTTGATTGTAGCAGTTTAATCGAGGTAAAGCGGAAGGAGGGAGAGATGGATGATAGAGGAGGCTCGTTCGTAGCAGTCAGGCGGATTTCGCAAGGTCTAGAGCGTGGAAGCGTTTACCATTCTTCATCTGGTAATTTCAATCACTCTCAATTCATGTTTTCTACATCACGACGCTTTTTTTTGCTTTCCTTCTTCGTATGGAACAAACGCGTTTTCGACTCTATAACAATGACCTCTCACTTTATCTATCTTCTCTATTTCTCTCTCTTCGCTGGCGGTTGCTTTGTTTTACGCGATTTGGTGTCGCAGATCTATGATTCTGCGATTTGCGTTTATTGCTCTGCTGATAAACTTGTTGAGTGATGTGTGTGGATCTTCTATGTAAGTGCTATTTTTTGTATCGATTGATCTCTTTTACGGATGTTCCAAAAAAAATTATCTGCAGATTTAGTCGCCTTACACTTCTCTCGCACACTGAATTACTAGTTTGTTTTCATGGAGCATGTTGCTGAATCTTTGCTTTCGTTAGCTGTTTCATTGCTTCCGTTCTGAGTGTGAATTTGTGAAAAAGAGGAAGCTAATCGATTGAATAGTTTTCCATTATTCTCATCCTTCTGTATTTGGAGAAGTCTGATGTTTAAACTGAGAGTTGTTGTATGATTCTCACGTATTGTAGAGACATTTAATATCGTATTTGTATCTTCGAAGCTATAAAAGTCAGCTCAAAGATGTTTGACTAAGTCACTCTCTTTTATGAGCAATCAATTATTAACGAAGACATCCGAACAACTACAATTTTTTATTTTCTAATTGCAGCTGAGGTTGTGGCTGGATCGGCAGCATGGTTAGGCCGTGGACTTTCCTGTGTTTGTGCTCAGGGAAGAGATGGTGACTCTCGTCCTTCAATTGATCTAACACCTGCTCAGGTACACACTTTTCTCTCTTTTCTTGGTTACTGTACGCTGATGGTTTTGCTTTTACTCTCTTATAAGTCGACTTCCGGCCAGTGTAGTGTTTATCAAATAGCTTATAACTTCTATCTTTATTCGTCAATGCTTGCAGGAGGAATGCCTCCAGAGGCTGCAGAACCGCATTGATGTTGGCTATGATAGCTCAATACCTCAGCATCAGGTATGTTTTCCTTGATGGTTGTGTTTGTAAGGACTGCTCACAATGAACTTTTGCCACCAAATGAATGATAAATCAAACTGTCATAAAGTTATCGGTTGCTATTTCATATGCGTGTAGGAAGCCCTGAAGGATCTTTGGAAACTTGCCTTTCCAGAAGAAGAGCTACACGGAATTGTATCTGAGCAGTGGAAGGAAATGGGTTGGCAGGGAAAAGATCCATCAACAGATTTTAGGTATGTCACTTCTCATTTCATTGCCATTTTTCTTAGATTTTTCCACTTCAGTCGACTCACAGTACAGCATCTGACAGGGGTGGTGGTTTCATATCTCTTGAAAACTTGTTGTATTTCGCTAGGAGTTTCCCGGTACGCTTTTATAAACAGTTGCAAAAAAATTGTCTTTTCATTAAAATGTTTAATTCCGTTGAAACTGTATCTGTACTCGTTTTCATATGTTGCCACCACATAATGATTTGATATTTTAATCCGGTCACTCAATTCTTGATGCCACTTGTTTGTTGCCTGCAGAAATCCTTCCAGGACCTTCTGCGGAAGCAAGTTGGAGATCGCTCGGTGTGGGAATACCCCTTTGCTGTTGCTGGCATCAATATAACATTCATGCTCATCCAGATGCTTGACCTTGAAGCAGGTACATGCACATTTATTAATTTCGGTGATTGCATTTGCATAGATGTTCCTCTGTGAACATGCATTAAGCAGCTAGCAAAAAATAGCAGAAACACTCCTAGTTAGGCACCGCCTTTGATACTTATTTTACCCAGTTTGAGATACTCAGGTTCAGTAACACTATCCTAATTGTGCGTACTAACAATAAACACCCTTCAACTTTACAGTGAAACCACGAAGTATTGTTGGGGAAACATTTCTCAGATTCCTTACTGGTAAGTCTCAGATGATACCGATTACATGTCATGACTCGTTTATTTATCACAAGTTAAGATTACTAAGTGTGTGTCCTTGGTCTTGTGTTTGTTTGCAGTAAACGAAGCTGCGTTTGACATTCTCTACTGCATTGCCTTCAAGCTGATGGATCAGCAATGGCTCTCCATGCGTGCTTCATACATGGAATTTAACGTAAGTACTGCTCTTACCTATCCTAAAGTTTTAGATTCAAAGACACATGGGTCTTATTTTGTCACCACATGAATAATGGTAATCGTGTGAAAAAAAACAGACGGTGATGAAATCAACAAGGCGGCAACTAGAGAGAGAGATTATGGTTGAAGACATAACATGTCTTGAAGATTTGCCATCATACAGTCTTCTCACTCAATAGCAAACAGCTTACCAGAGGCTTACTTTGTAAGTAGAAAAGATCTAACACCTCCAAAATCTCTATATCAAAGCCCTAAGACAACAAACAGAGCAAACAACCAAAAAAGAAGAAAAGGTTTATCTCTCTCCCTCTCCCTCTTCGCTCTTGCGATTTCCTTTACACTAGTGTTGGTTCCACGAATTGAAATTG